GGGCAAGTAATACGCAAATGCCGCACAAACGTACATGATAAATTATATGATACATGTGTTTTTTAGGCCCTAGCCACAACGACAAAGTGGCGAACATGAATAATGGTCCATTGGTAGAGCATAATGAATGGCAATCACCGGGACTATTTGTTTTTATTTATTCGTCACAAGACAAACATACACACAAAATATTTCTCATTTGAGACTTTTATGCTGTGGAGTTATTGTTTTTTAGCTGTAAGGTCTTTATTCGATTTTGAATTATGAAACGTGATTTGCCTCGGCACCTAGACCTTTGATGATTAGAGCCTAAATTCATCAAAACAAAAATGTAAATACAATAATGACATAGTGATTATTATTATTGTATTTTTGGAGTTTCTTTCCTATTCTTCCTTCTTCCTGTTCTTATTATTATATTGCATTCTTCCTTCTTCCTGTTCTTATTATTATATTGCATTCCTTTTTAATAATATACTAAAATGAATAAACATAGGGCCTACAAAAGTACTAGAACACAAGCCTAGAACTTTCGTACTTTGTGTGCATTTGTATACTCAGTTTAACACAATTCAATCCTCCTATATTCAAAACCGATGGCTGGTCCTGGCCACCACTGGATAGGCTTTCTTCACAAAAGCTTCTATGAATGGGGGAGGGTCTTGATGTGGAGCAGGAAATCAAGTTGTCCCTCTCAGTACTGCCTGATTATAAATCAGTGGGAAATCTACTGTTGATACAAGAATTGAGTCTGGAATTAGAGGGCAACCTTTCTACTATAGAGCTAGAGCTCAACTCTAACATACATATCCACAATGGCGGGCTTACTCCATACTTAATTTTATATTATTTGATTTATTTGTATATTACATGTGAGGATTTTCAGTCGCTAACAAATTTAGACCAACACGACAAAGCATCGTACAGCAAATTACCAATTTGAGAACTAGAATTAAATAAAGGCGCCGATTCTAGCATTACTTTAATCTAATTCATGTTTATGTGTTTGAACAGAACATCACCAATTTTTGCACACGTATATTTTACACTAAATTTGTGTGTATGTGTGCACACGTATCAAGAGCATGTGTGTATATGTGTACATGATATTTTGTTCACATAAGTATAACTTGTACTGTTGTAGACCTGTACACTTTTAGTTAGTTTGCAGCAACTTCCATGGGATACTTACTGTAACAGAATGCGTATCATGTGTGTAGGCCTGCATGTTTACTTTACAGCAACTTGCATGGATAGTATTTGCATAGGCCAAAGCAGAAAGTGTAACATGCCTGTAGTGTGTGCGCGCCAATGGTTACTTTGTAACAACTAGCGCGAGTAGCATGCACACTGTTATGTGTACACTTGACCAATTTGCACTAACTTACATGGATATTATCATCTGATGTGGTTACATCAGATGAATCTTTGCATTTTAGTAGCTGCACATGCAACTTGCCATTTTACACAATGTATATTTGTGTCTACATAAATAGAATGACAATGTGCAGGTATTATACAATATTATGCTTTAGAATATTCTGTTACATACGGTATGGTAATACTTGCAGCATTTGGTCGACTGGGCTTCACAGAATGATTATTTAAATGATGTACTTGGTTGGATCCATTGAGGGAGGTGGGGGTGGCGATGGTCATCCCCTCCCCCCCACCCTTAAAATGTCAAAGTGCTTTTAAATTTTAGCTGGCAAAAAATGTGCAAATGATAACTAAAGAGTCAGTAACTTTTTTTCTTTAGGGGTGGGGGTCATTTATGAGGGTGGCAAGACGGAAGACGGTCCCCAAGGTCGTTTAAACTTATACAGGAATTTTCCTTCATTCTGCACCCCCTCCTGCAAATACCTGGACCACCCCAGTACCCCACAGCCTCGCAAGTTTAATGAAACCGTGCTACGCACACATGACTTATTAAATAAAAATTGTTATTGAATTTTTTATATTAATTTAGTTCAGTTCAATATTCTGGTAAGGTAGTTTGCTGCTATTATGTACGTTTCTTGTGTATTTTAACGTAACTGGACGTAACGTAATTTCGTTTTGGTAAAGGAAAGCGATTGTAATAATTATGCAGTGGTCATTCCTCAGTCATTTTGCAAATTATGAAATATACTCTATAGTTAATGGGTTTTTAGTAAACCCGTTATAAGCCAGCCCTTAACCATGTCTATATTGATTTGCATATTATAACAATTGGGTGAAAAAGTCCAAACACTGGCAGACAATGTGGCGTATATGCAATTATGGTTTATTCAAATACAGTAATATAAGTATTCTCCTTTGAATTTCATTTATGAAAACAATTAATAAGAGGAATTACTTAATAAAGATGAGACATAAACTGGTTTTTCTACATAAAATGATTGATCTAATTCGTGAGTATGCCACAAGATTGGCATATGTAACCATCAGTATACAAACTATTTCGTTCTCTCATCTCCTAACGACATTTAGATACAATATATAGTATATATAATATTACTTTTTATAGGATTTTTGTTATTGTGATCGTTTACTTTATTTATGACAATTTAATTCAAATTTTGTTTATACCGGTAAATCTCTAAAGTTAAAAATTTTTAATACTGTACATTCTCTTAGATATATTCTTTCAATAACCATGTCCAATTTTCAAAAAATATGTCAACAGTGGATTTTCTGAATTAAATGAAACTAATGAAGAGATGCACTGCCATTGAATGCTAATGCACTAATTTTCATCTCGACACGCACACCATTTCTACTGGAGACTTTGTTGGTTAGTGTTCTCATCCTTTGCTTTGATTAAGCTATAGTTATCTGGACTGGTGATCATTGTATAATGATGTCACACTCTACTCAAGCTACCGTTACCGGGCTTGGACAAGATTGCCATCCCAACAAGAACATTATTTCTACTGAAGACTTTGATGACTAGTGTTCCCATTCTCAAGATATTTTAGATTGATTGACGGTCATTTGCAAAATGTTGTAATGCTCTACTTTAGCTGTTGTTATCTGGACTGATGATCATTGCACACCGATGTCACTCTATACTTTAACGTTATCTGGCTTGGACAAGAATGTCATCTCCATCGGCAAAAGTTCTTCGCAAGACATCGTTATCTCGAATGGCGATCTCGTTTGTTCCAGTTGAAGACTACAGTACTGGAATTGTTTTTTTTTTTTTTTGTAGAAAGTAATGACGTCACTTGTGACGCTAATTTTCTGCTCAAAATAAATAACAACCACTTAGCATTACAGCTTAAATCGTGTGGGGAATTGGAAGTTTTTTTAGTTCTTAATGTGTTAATTTGATAAACATGAATGGCTATAATAACGATGGCAATCACTTTCTGAGAAATGTTACACGGTTGGCGAGAGTGCTTTTAACACTGGCTGAAAGTTATCTTATGATATGAAGTTAGTCGTGCAGTGTCAAAATGATAATAGTAATAATAGATTATGTGTTGTAATGTTCACTCGTGTTATGGCTCTGTGTTATTTACAGTTAATAGGTTGTTCTGAGGGACATTTGGTATGCTCTGGGTCCTAAGATCCTAGTTACTTCTCCGTGTGCTTCTTTGGTCCATTATTATTATTTATTTATTTCATTTAAGATCTCTTTGCTTTACATTTCTATGCTTTAAAGGGTATCCAAAATCTAAAAAGTATATGTCTTTACAAAACTTAAGTGTATTATACTCAGTCTTTCCTTTTGCAAGGTTGTCTAAAAACCTTAGAAATTTGGAAAATTATCAAAAAGCAGTCAAAAGAAGAAGCTGATATCAATTGTTGTATATTTTGCGTCTTTATAAATTATTTTATAATATTATTTAATATATAACAATGCTAAAACTTCATGAATAATAGTGATGGTGACATTGGTGATAGAACAAATTTGTTTATTCATTTTTATTTTTTTCCCATGACATTTGTTCTTTTTAAATTTTTTTTTTCTTTCAAGTATCAAAGCTATACACATTTTCCTCAATTTTCTCCAATTTTCTAAGATATACTCGACAATTCAAACATCATTGGTGCAAGAATGGAGAACGGAATTAAATCTAGTGAAGTAGAGACAAAGGATCAGACAGAAAATTGCATCGGCGGTATAAAAAGCGATATTCTATCTGAACGTCAACAGTGTCTTCCCATTCGGTCTGCAGTAGATCCAACCGAAGTACGTACTTTATTACATAAAACATCACTGGTCATTGGAGGTATCGATAGCCTACTGCTTAAAAAATGATGTCCATGTTTGGTATAAAGTTCACCCTCCAACTCAAGACTATTCTAATTCGAGACCACATTTTCAAAGTACTGTGCCCACTAACAATCTTCAATCTTATAACAAAGCCAACCTTCTAATTATAGGTTGAACCCAGAGACCTCCTAATTTTCAGATTCCAAAAGTATCTTGAATTGGAGGGTGAACTGGTTTTATATTTTTTCCAGCGATATTGCTTCAACAAAAATAAAAAGTTATAATCAAATAATTCTAATAATAAAGAAGCTAATGACTTTATTCAATGTACATTGTAATTATATTTTATTTACATATTTTCTTAACTTCCTATTAGACGTACCATAGTTTCTTTTTAAAACCCATAAAAGTGTTTAAAGATATTAATATGGTTTTATAATATCTACATTATCATCATTATGTAAATTATCTGCCCTGATTCGTGTAATGAATATCAAAGTATTAATTCTAATATTGTTTATCACTAAAGTGCTTTTAAGGTTTTGATGAAAATTCGTATAAACAAGTTGGTGAAAATTTGGTGAAACCAGGTTATAACCCACATAAAATAATTACAATACGTTTGCATCAATTTGTGAACAGAAAACTATTCGGAATGAATTTTCAAATGTTTTCGAGTAAAAAACACGACATTTTTTAACGCTCAGTGGCCTTTCCAGTAATCTGATAACAAGAATATTGTCTTTCGATACTTAATATTGAATTGAATGTTTAGTTTTGTTGTTTAAATCTGTGTCTAATTTTTTATACTGGTACCTCTGCAAAAATTCTCTCATAGAAATTGTCTTTATATTAGGCTAGTATGGTAATCCGTATAAACATTATTATACATATCAATTTTATACTTTGTAAATGAACCTTTTATGTGTTATAAACGATGTTGAGTAGTTCTACTTATACAGTAGGCCTACAGTAAGGTAGAGTTATTGATAGGCCCGCCCTGTAATAAACTCATCAATATTTATTGCAGGTTTTTTTTTTTATTATTATTTATTTTTTTATTTTGGCAGGTAAATGCAATAAATTTTTAGTCATGATATTCGTCATTCTAGAAATTCAGTCCCAATACCTTGCGCCTCTCGTTAGTCTCCTCTAGGCCATTCCTTTGTATTCTCAGTGAGTAGAATGAGTGATTTAAAATCGGTTAGTGTATAGGATCTTAAAATTGGTTGGCATTTTACTACGTTTTGTTATTGTTATCATCCTCATCATCTTCATCATCATCTGCGGGCTTGCAACATCCATATTTAAAATAAATATAATTAATTACAAGTTCATAATTAATTTATTTAATGAATCCTTTTACATTAATTGATCTCTAACGCTTCTCAGTATCATGTGTGTTTATGCAACATCTTCTTAGACTTCTTATTGTGCCTATTATTTCTTAGTATTAGGCTATTTTATTTCAATATAAAATGGCTGAAAAACTAAATAATAACATCTAAAAAGGAGTTCAATTCAAGTCATACCCATTAGGGTGGCGATTGATGATGATATACAGTCACTTCCATTAACGGCAAAAATGTCACATGATGATTAATGGGCATGAGACTACCGATTAGCGTTTTATTCTACTTTAATAAACAATTCAATTTAACAAGAAGACCTTACAATTTTTGCCGCTGTAATCAACCCGACAAGAGAACCGAGTGTGGACATCGTATTCAGACTGCTAATGTGATCGAGAGATAGGCCCACTCTCTTGACATGTTTATTACAATGTAGACCTATGCCATATTGTTGCTGTTGTTAATGTTGCAACAATGATTATAAATATACAAAAAGGCAGATTTCTTATGTACAAAACATAAATGTCAATTATATACTTTACATTAAGAACATATTTAAAAAGAAAAGATTAGTGAAATTGTTTCGATTAAAAATTAAGAAAATAAATATATAAATATATATGGACGCCTAGATGCTGTACTGGCTGTTACGACAATTTTTTTTTTTGCAAAAGGACAATGGTGTTTATTATTATTATTAGGTTA